CTAAATTTATGAAGAACAATTCTTTATTTGCAAAATTTTATAACAGAAACTAAGAAAAATGTGTTTTTTTTTTTTTCAAAATTTTTGGTCTTGTTTAGTTTATTTAGCAAAAAATAAAAACCCCAATGGAGATTAAATACCACCAAAAGAAAGCTTTATTTGTGTGAAAACAATGTTAAGATTTTCATATGGGTACAGTGTTGCAATTGTCATTCAAAGTGTGAGAGCACCGAAAGCTGAAAATTGGCCTGGGCAGGAAGGAGGTAAAAGTATCTGGTATTGAAGTGGTTAAGGAATTCAACTGTATTTCTTCAGCAGACCTCAATGAAAATAAGCATTAAGATGTGTTAAAAAAGTCTTTCAACTATAAGAAAAGATAAATTTGTTTGCAGTCTTAGCTAATTTACTCCAGGTTACAATCATATACATCTGATAATTTGTCATATACTTTCTAGGAATGTTTCTTCAGAACTCACAATCCACTTGGAAATAGTTTTCTATCCTTACAAAATGTAAATGATCTAGCTCTAGCAGCGTCAAGACTGTAATAATTCTACTTGTATTGTGTTTTTTTTTTTTTATTCTAACATTTTACTCTTCTTTTCACTTCATTAGCATACCAACCTAGAACACAAGGGTCCTTATTGATTCTTAGGAAAACATGAAACTTAATTACAGATCTAACAATTATATTAACATAATTAAAATGCATGTTATCTAATTTCCCCAGTACTCATATTTGCTCTACTATGAGCAAGGATATCTGTTGCATTAAATTCAAATGTGTTGTTGTTATGCATTTTATTGATGAGCATTTGGTTCTTTATAATGCTCCAACCAGCTAGAGAAAACAATACTTCTCATGGACTCAATTTACAGCTAAGCTCTGAAGCGAAATTTAGCCTTTAAGAGAAGCTCTGCAATAAAAGATAACACTCATATTTGTGTTGGAAATATGGGCTTTGAGGAAATTTCTCTCCATATTTTTTTAAAAAGTGACAAAAACTAGAACAGGTACAGCCTAAAGGATGTTAAGAGCATTATTCACCGCACATCTAGATACAATTTGCTCCAACTAAATACTGTAGTAGGCTACTGTTTTAAAATAAAAGGTTTTAAAATCTCCAGACCATTGCACTGACTATGGGAGCGGGCACAGCTTATCATCCATAGAGGGTGTACAGCTGGGACCTAGGGGTGGTGAGTTTTTAGGGTGTTAGTTCACCTTTTCAATTTTTTTTTAAAGAAATTAAATAAATATTACATACTGGGAAAACTAAATTTTCTATCACTACAAGAGATGCAGGTAGAAGTGTTCATTTGTTCTATGGTGTGATTTAAACTTCCATTCTTCTTTCATTCTTTTCTTTAGGCTTTCAAGACAGAAGAGCAATTCTTTAATCAAATGGCATTCCTTTGATCTGTCCCAGAAGCCTTAAGGAAAGCCCAAGAAGACCACAGCTTTCAAAGTGGCAACCACCCCAATCTATAACTGGCCTTTGCATCAAGGTGCACATGGAAGGGCAATGCACAGCAAAAACAAGAAAAAGATTTCCCAACACACTTATCAGCCAGTCTGCAAAACAATTGAATCAGCCCTGTCTAACAATTTGCATTACAAACAGAGGGATTTGTTTGCATACATGTGCAGATATATGCATAAGCCAGAGTGCCTGTGCCAAGAGACCTCCGTATATACTGTGGTCCTAACTCTAAATTTACAGAGCCTCCATAGTAGGAGCACATATAAGAATGGATAGATTAGGGGCAGGTGTGCCTGGAGGTAGCCCACTCCTCCTTAAAGGTACAGGGACGTACGTAATGCCCAGCAAGAGCACAATGCCATCAAAGGTATCCATGTGCACCTTGTTGCAAAGGCCAGTTATAGATTGGGGTGGGTGCCACTTTATTGTACAGTTGGACAAATTGTAAGATAAAACAGCTCCCATATTTATATTTCACATGTATATTTAGATGCCTGCCTGGAGTTGAGCTCTAAAGTGTAAATTTACCTTTTTACAAAATTGGTTGTGTCCCTGCACACAAAGATTTAAAATCTTGCCATCCAGTTCAGAGCTCTGCACACAACACAACCCTGCTGACAGGGCAGGAGACTTGACTTTTTTTTTTCAGTCGCAGTCAAGTTACAATTGCAGGTCACATCCCTCCTCCAGTTTGTGACTGGACAGTAAAAGTAGAAACAGCAAACTGATGAGTTGATCTCTCTTTCACTCTACTCTCTCATCAACAGGATGTTTCTTGTTATCCTTTGCAGCACAACTGATTGGCAACTCGTGCTGCTTCTTTTTCTCCCAATCTGAGCGTTGCTGTACAGGGGATAGAAAGAGGCCAATACCAATTAAAATTCAGGTACTTGCACTGCTTGCATTCAATTGTTTTTTTTTAGGATACAGTAGCTTTATTTTCTGTATTTTGTACATCTGTACATTGTACATATTATATCAGCTTCAACATCCGCTTACCAACTGTTCAGTGTCTGCTACTCCTCTCTGCCAATCCCTCCACTGGCTTCTGCTCTCCCAATCAATTCAAAATACCAGAAACAACTTACAAAGCCATTTACATGGCCACAGATCGGGGGGGCAGTCACAGATGGGGTGCTGCTTTTGCGTGAGTGCGTTGATGGAGTGCTAAGACGCAGTTAAACACAGCAGTTGAACTAAAGCAGGATAACTCAAGCAGCAGGAAGATACTACAAGAAACTCTACTGCAAGCTGGATGGACTGCAAGCAAAACTCCTGGGAAACATCTCTTACAAGTCTGAGTCCCACTCCGTGTACCTTTTTAATATGTCCCCCTCTACTCCTCCTTTTCATATTACTTTCCTGCGTTCCCAAAATCTCACTTCTTTACCTCTCTGCTCCACCCCAAAACTTGTACATCTCACCCTCACTGTTACCATCTCCCCTACTACTGCTCTCATCACCTCCTGCTGATACTTCACTCTCCTGTTGACCCAAACACCAGGACTGGAATTCATGTGCACTCGTGTACATCCCGCTCCCATGTTACCTTCCTCACCCTTCTTCTTCTCCTAACCTCTGAGGATATCTACCCAAACCCTGGTCCTCCACTATCTCACCCCCACACCAGGCATCCTCTTTCTTCCAGGAATAGCCACAATCTCCTCAATTTATTATCGGTCCCCATGCTCCCAAAAACCACCCTGCCTTTTTCATGTGTGCTCTGGAATGCCCGCTCTGTCTGTAATAAGCTCACCTCTGTCCATTACCTTTTTGTCTCCCGCTCCCTTAACCTACTAGCAATTATAGAAACCTGGCTTCAAGCAGCAGATTGTGCTTCTCCCGCAGCACTTTCCTATGGAGGCCTTCTCTGGACCCACTCACCCAGATCCAGTGGTGGGAAAGGAGGTGGTGTTGGTTTGCTTCTATCCCCACTCAGCACCTTTCAAGTCCTCCCTAACCCTCCCTCTCTATCCTTCTCTTCTTTCAAGACTCACTGCATCCGGCTGTTTTCTCCCATTTCTCTGAGGATTGCAGTGATCTATCGGCCTCCTGGACCGGTGTCCCGATTTCTTGATGATTTCTCCTCCTGGCTACCCTACTTTCTCTCCTCTGAACTACCCACTATCATTCTCTGAGATTTTAACATCCCTATTAATGTCAACAACCTGGCTACATCCCAACTCTTCAACCTAACCACATCTTTTGTATTAGCACAATGTATACAGTCCTCCACTCACTCTGATGGGAATACATTAGACCTTGTTTTCTCCCGTCTTTGCACTCCCTACAACCTCACAAACACCCCCTTTCCTCTCTCTGATCACAATCTCATCACCTTCACAGTCTCCTCATCTTCAAACACCTATCCCTCCAAGCAGCAAACAATTACCCTCAGAAACCTTCACAACTTGAACCCTGCTCCTTCCCACTCTGCAACTGAGCAACTCTATGACAGAATCTCTCCCCTGTCCTGCCCTGACTTGGCCACTGCTGTCTACAACAGTTCGCTTTCATCCGCATTAGACTCACTTGCTCCTCTAACAACACGAAACATCAAGCCCCGACCGTTACAACCTTGGCAGACTGACAACACCAGAAATCTTAAATGACATAGTCGTGCGCTGGAGCGATTGTGGTGTAAAACCAAATCTTACCAAGCATTCATCCTGTATAAATCTGCTCTCTTAACATACAAGTCCTCCCTTCATGCTGCCAAACAAGCCCACTTTGTCACTCTTATTAATACCTTGTCATCCAGTCCTCGTCGTCTCTTCTCTACTTTTAACTCTCTACTTTCTCCACCTCCACCCCCATCCAGTACCTCACTCACTGCTCACGAGTTTGCAAATCATTTAAAAAACAAGATTGACGCAATTCGTAGGGGCATCGCGACTGCACAGACATCCATCCCACTTAGCATACCTTATACTAAACCTCCCTCAACACTTTCCTCTTTTGACCTTGCCACTACCGAAGAGGTCACTAAGGTTTTCTCAGAAGCCCGTCTCACCACCTGCTCCCTGGATCCTGTCCCCTCACAACTACTACGGTCACCCTCTTCTTCCATCCTATGCTCCCTCACTCACATCTTCAATCTTCCCTCTCTACTGGTGCCTTCCCCTCCCCTCTAAAGCATGCGCACATCACTCCCATACTTAAAAAGCCCTCCCTGGACCCCACCAACCTGAACAACTTAAGACCCATCTCCCTGCTGCCATTTACTTTGAAACTCCTAGAACGCCTGAGCTCCCACCTCACCGACAACAACCTACTTGACCCTTTACATTCTGGCTTTCACTCACTCCACTCCACTGAAACTGCCCTACTAAAACTCACTAATGATCTACTAACAGCTAAAACCAATGGCCACTGCTCCATACTCTTACTACTTGACTTCTCTGCAGCTTTTGATACGGTTGACCAACCCCTCCTCCTCAAAAAACTCCACTCTCTTGGCCTCCGAGACTCTGCTCTCTCCTGGTTCTCCTCCTACCTATCGCAGCGCTCCTTTAGCATTACCTATAATGCTGCCTCCTCCTCTTCACTCCCTCTTTCTGTAGGGGTCCCTCAAGGTTCTGTCCTCGGACCCCTTCTCTTCTCCATCTACAACTCCTCTCTTCATAAACTCCCATGGCTTTAAGTACCATCTCTATGCTGATGACACACAAATCTATCTTTCTACCCCTCACCTCACCCCTTCAGTCTCCTCTTGCATTACTAACCTACTAAGTGACATATCGGTATGGATGTCACTCCACTTCCTCAAACTCAATCTTTCCAAAACTGAGCTCTTAGTATTCCCCTGCCCGTGCCCCCTCCCCTGACTTCTCCATCAAGATCAATAACACAATCATCAGTCCCTCCCCTAATGCCAGGGTACTAGGTGTAATCCTAGACTCCCATCTGTCCTTTCAGCCCCAAATCCAATCACTGTCCAAATCTTGTAGACTTCACCTCCGCAACATCTCTAAGATTCCGTTCATAACCACGGAAACCACTAAGCAACTTATTCACTCCCTGGTTATATCTCGCCTTGACTATTGTAACTCCCTCCTCATTGGCCTACCTCATCGCAGGCTATCCCCTCTTCAGTCTATCATGAATGCTGCTGCCAGACTCTTCCACCTTACTAACCGTTCTTTATCTGCCACCCCTCTCTGCCAATCCCTCCACTGGCTTCCTGTTGCCCACTGGATAAAATTCAAAGAAACATTAACAATAACGTATAAAGCTATTTATAACTCTGCCCCAAATTACATCACCGATCTTGTCTCTAAATATCACCCAAACCGTACTCTCCACTGTTCGCAAGACCTCCTACTCTCTAGCTCCCTTGTCTCCTCCTCCTATGCTTGTCTCCAGGACTTCTCTAGAGCTTCCCCCATCCTCTGGAACTCTCTGCCCCAATTTATCAAACTATCGCCTAGTCTGCTCACTTTTAGGCGATCTCTGAAAACCTATCTCTTCAGGGAAGCCTATCCTGCCCTTAGCTAATACTGGAATCTTCTATTTTTCAAAGCAGTCCATCCCCCACAGTTACTACCTTTTGTACCACTAGCCCCTCCCTCCTACATTGTAAGCTCCAAGGAGCAGAGCCTTCAAATCTCTCTTGTATTGAACTGTGTTATTGCTGTATTGTGTCCCGTTATATTGTAAAGCGCTGAGCAAACTGTTGGCGCTATATAAATCCTGTGTAATATTAATAATAATAATAATAATAATAATAATAATAACATCTCAGTCCCCAGCTACATCACTACCTTAGTCTCAAAATACCAACCAAATTGTTCTTTTAGGTCCTTCCAAGACCTCCTAGCTCCCTTGTGACTTCCTCCAATGCTCATTTCCAGGACTATTCCCGAGTCTCTCCCATCCTATGGAATTCTCTACCCCAATCTGTTGGATAGTCTCTTACTCTGCCAAAATTTAGACGATCCCTGAAAACCCTGTGAGTGGGTGGATAGACATGAGTTGAGGGCTACTACATCCCTAAATTATAGTTACAAAGAAATTAGTCTCCAATTTGACTTTAATGCAGCCATACACATAAACATAAATGTGTAAAAAAATATTTTTATTCATACAAATTCCATTAAAAACTATAACAATAAAATTGGAATAATTAGGCTCTGACATTCAACCTGTGTCTATGGAAAGACTGTATATCTTAAATACATTCAAGTAGTAAATGCCATATTATCATTGTAATTTCTGTCCAGAGGCACAAGTTGTCAAATTACAAACAGGTTGAATGTCAGAGCCTATTTATTCCAATTTTATTGTTATGCTTTTTTGTTGGAATTTATATGAATAAAATCTTTTTTACTCATTTATGTTTATGTGTATGACTGCATTAAAGTCCCATGGAAGACAGCTTTCTTTGATCCCTGAAAACTGATCTCTTCAGACAAGCCTTTCCTGCCCCCACCTAATATTTATTTTCTCCATCAGCTCATCCCCCTTTTGTATCAATTGACTCTCCCTTTTAGATTGTAAACTTCAACAAGCAGAGCCTTCTGTTTCCTACTGTATTAAATTGTATTGTAATTGTACTCTCTGCCTTCATGCTGTAAAGCGCTGCCCTTACCGTTGGCACTATATATATCCTGTATAATAATAATACTATTCATACATGAATTGTATGCAAGAAGGTAAAAAAACCTACTGTGTCACAGACTCACCCCCTAACCCTCCTTACCTATCTGAGCCCCATCATGATCCAGCACTATGCATGAGAGCTACGGCTCACCTGGCTTTGTCCCTCCTCACTGAGCAGATCAATAGCAGCGTGAGACATTGGCTCCTGTTTCTGCCAATCAACTCCAGTAACGAGGGAGTGGGGAGACAGGGCCAAGTCCCAATGTCTTTGTCAATGGACACAGCAGTGGGGCTCGGAAGTGAGCCAGCACGAGTGCCCCCATGGAATTGGCTTCCTATTGGGGGCACCAGCTAGAGACGAGAAGCCAGGAGCGCCGGCAGGGGACCCGAGAAGAGGATTAGGGCTGCTCTGTGCAATTCTATTGCACCTAGCAGGCAAGTATAGACATGTTTGTTATTTTAAAAAATTCCTTTACCACTTTAAGTGGGAGTATATGGGGGGGCAGTAAAAACACAAATTAAAATTTTTACCACCACCCCCCAGCTACAAGTGTGAAAAAGGTCTTACACACAGCAATGTTTTGAAAGTGTCAAGAACCTCTCATTCTCCTTCTCAATCTGCTGGTGGCACTGAACTCCTATGGCTGTCAACCTGAGATTTCATTAGCTATCAGGGCTTGTTTAACAGCAGTCATATTTCTTCAATTACTCCCTGAGTTACATTGCTAGAAGGCTTTATAAACTATACTATAAAGTATAGCCTTATACCTTTTATGTCTTTAAGGTCTGAACTCACACGTTATGCTTTTTTGCTAGGAAATGCCTTAAAATAATGTTTTTATCCAAATTAGCATTGATGCTTACTGTACTCCTATTCTGGTGTTCTATGTTGGCATACTTGTCAGGAAGCGGTTCACCTGCTGGTGGCACTGTGGCTACAAGATCTACAGGCTGCAGTTCCGGCGTCCACCAGTGGGTGTCTCTCAGCAGCCAGAAGCTCATGATAATTAGGCATTACCTGATGCTTGTTGTAGAAAGTGTATTTAAACCTTGCCTGTGCTTCTCATCTTTGCCTTGGTCCATGTGCCCCTGGCCTGTGTTCCTGTATCCTGCATTTGATCCTGAATCTTGCATCTGATCCTGACCCTGATCTTGCAGCCTGATCCCTTACCTGCCTGTTTGTTTCTTCTCCTGTTTATCCTCTCCCTGTCCTGGCTTGCACCCTGCTCCTTCTGATTGATCCCAGTTGTAACACCGACTACACTTTTCATATCCTTCTATTTCTATATATTTGGCTTGGGCAGTTGTTTATAATTTTTTCACTCACATATTAGATTTGCTGGTTTGATTTATGCAGTTATAAAATGCTGGAGGTGCGTTTTATATTTTTGTTAGTCACTTATTCTTAACAAATTACATTATTTTACATTATAGCTGTGCCTGATGTTCTCTGTGCGAGTCCACACATTTCTGGTCCCACCTCTTTCACAGGATACTAATACTCAGTGTATCCTTGACAATACCTGAGTAACACAACTCTCATCACACAACTCTCATCTTAAGAGCCCTCAGGCAGACTTGTATTGCAAAGGAAGACTAGTTCTATTACTGAACTCTGATCACTTAATGCACCAGGTCTCCATTGTGTGCCTACTGGATGACACACTCATATTTAGTCATCCTATACAGGTGCTGTAAACTCGAGATAATAGAGATAATAAAAATGAAGATTGCTGACACAATGTCTGCCTGATGGAATATCTATTTCTATTACTTCATTTAGACTTTAACTCGACACAGTCATGTATACACAGGTTGATTTACTAAAACTGGAGAGTGCAAATGCTGGTGCAGCTCTGCTTAAAACAAATCAGCTTCCAGGTTTCATTTTTGTCAAAGCTTAATTAAATAAGCTAAAGCTATAGACTGATTGGCTACCATGTACAGCTGCACCAGATTTTGCACTCCCAAGTTTTAGCAAAACAACCCTATTGTCTTAATATTCTGCCTATTTCCTGGTTCTGACATGTTATTGCTTTGTTCTGCTGTCCCCTTTTAAAGGATTAGTTTACCTATCATAACATGTTACATGTTACACCCATATTCAGGGTGTAACATATAACATGTTAAAGTTAGACCGGCCCCTGGCTTTGACAATTTGCGGGGAATCTTCTGCATATCGCTAGCTGTCAAACGCAAAAAAAAAAACGAGGCTGAGCGAGGCTCCACCCACCTGGCTGTGTCACTCATTCACTATGTTCTGTGAATGATAAACTACAAGTCCCAACAGCCTTAGCAGTTGTCAGCTTGTAGTTCTCCATGAACTACCACAGTGCTGTTGAGCGCTGTTGAGTCTTGTCAGCACTGATCTGACAGATCTGCATGGCACCAGCAACCTGCTGATCTCTGGTGCAATAGTTTACAGGTTCCTGCAACAAAATACACTGCTCAAAAAAATTAAAGGAACACTTTTTAATCAGATTATAGCATCAAGTCCATTAAGCTCCTGGGATATTGATCTGGTCAGTTAAGGAGTAGAGGGCATTGTTAATTTCAGCTGCTTTGGTGAAATTAACAACAGGTGCACTAGATGGGCAACAATGAAAACAGGAATGGTTTTACAGGTGGAGGCCACTGATATTGTTATCCCTCTCATCTTTTCTGACTGTTTTTCACTAGTTTTGCATTTGGCTAGGGCCAGTGTCACTACTGGTAGCATGAGGTGATACCTGGACCCTACAGAGGTTGCACAGGCAGTCCAACTCCTCCAGGATGGCACATCAATATGTGCCATTGCCAGAAGGTTTGCTGTGTCTCCCAGCACAGAACATGGAGGAGATTCCAGGAGACAGGCAGTTACTCTAGGAGAGCTGAACAGGGCCGTAAAAAGTCCTTAACCCATCAGCAGGATCGGCATTTGCTCCTTTGTGCAAGGAGGAACACGATGAGCACTGCCAG